AGAGGATGGGGGGATAAGGGGAGGAAGAGGAGTGAGGAATACGCATTTCAGGGCCCTTTCCAGTGTCAGCACCAATTCCTGTTCCCTCAAAAAACTGAAGTTCAGCCCTGACCGGTTTGGTTCAGTGGATAGAGCGTCGGCCTGTGGACTGGAGGGTCCCGGGTTGGATTCCGGTCAAGGGCATGTACCTGGGTTGCGGGCACATCCCCAAGTAGGGGGTGTGCAGGAGGCAGCTGATCGATATTTCTCTCTCATTGATGTTTCTAACTCTCTATCCCTCTCCCTTCCTCTCTGTAAAAAATCAATAAAATATATATTTTTAAAAAAACTGAAGTTCAATGTTAGACTAAGGATCCCCCCCGTACTTCGAACTTGGAAACTGAGAACTAAGGGCCAAAACACTGGGCTCCGGAGCCAGGACTCCTTCCCAACAGCTAGAGACCCCCGCGGACTCCGAGGCGGGGCGGGGCCGGCAGTGCGTGCGCCCCGGCGGCTGGGCCGGGCCCGCCCCCAGGGGCTGGCGCCGGCGTAAGACGCTGATTGGTTGTGTGCCGGCATCGGCCTCCCGCGATAGGCGGCGCCAGGGCTGCTCGCCGGGCTTTGATTGGCTCGCGGGGCGCAGAGCGGACATAGCCCGTGGCGGGTCGTCGGGGAGACTGAGAGGGAAGGGGAGTCGGGCTGTTAGGCCTCGCGGGCTGACTGGGCTGAGGGCGGCCGGGCCGTTCCGTGAGGCGGGGACCGGGCGCGCGGGCTGCACGCCAAGCTCCGGGGGGCGCCTGAGCGAGCGGGCCGGCCGGGAGGAGCGGCCGGGAGTCCCCCAGCCGGGACCATGGGCTGCTGCTTCTCCAAGAGGCGGAATTCGGAGAAAGAGGCTCAGCCCCAGGGCGAGGAGGAGCCGCCGAAGCAGTACAGCTGGGACCAGCGCGAGAAGGTAACCCGGGTCCCGCGGCCGCTGCTCGCTGGACCCCCCGCCCCCGCCCCCAGCCGCCCCGCCAGGGTCCCTTGTGGCCCGGGAGGGCGGAGGGGAGCGACCGAACAGCTGGCGGTCTCCCTCCCTCCTCCTCCCCCTCCCCCTCCCTCCCTCCGGTATCTGAAGTCGGGATGGATGACTTTTGAGGGATCGAAGAAGCGGGCGGGACTCCGGGGGACCGGGCGGCGCTGAGGGGGCTGAGCCGTTGACCCGGTAGATGCCCAAGTTCACTCCCTGGGGGCTCGCCCGCCGCTCCACACCCGCACGGTCCCGGGATGGAGTCCTGGGGAGGAAGGAGAGCCGGCCGTGCCCCGAGGCTCCAATCTGCTCGTTTCTCCGGGCAGCGCCGAGCGAGTGGGGTTGGGTCGGGTCCTCGAGTTACACGCGGGACTGATTCTCATCTCGCTCGCGGCTCGTGTGCTTCCTGGGGCCGTTGTGTCTTTTGTCCGCCGCGGGCCGGTAAGTCGCTCCGGTACCTATTGGCCTGTTTCACTGCTGACTTGGCTCACACCCGCGGGCTGTTCCACGGGCGGCTTCCCGCCCCGTTCAGTGACCCGAAAGGAGTCATGAAAATCGGATCAGTCGTGGAATGTGTGTCCAGACTGTGTAACTAGCATGAAGCAGGCAGAATTTACGAATTGCTTGAAATGCTTGAAAACGCTCTAATGTTTATTTTCACATAGAGCCAGAACGTTTTTACAAACTTGGAAAATGTCCACTCTTGCACAAAACACACTTAGTCATCAATTTCATAAGGCTTCCTCTTTCTACATAGTTCTCCATTTGTGTTTAGTAAAAGACTATAGATGTATCCAATTTTTTTTCTTCCAAACAAAATGAGAGATTTTTTAAAAATGGGTGTCATGAAGTTAACTTCTTCTCCCTGGTTAACGTAACATATCTTTATCCGCAAATGCTTCATAGGAAATTTCTTGTTAATGTTTTGATTTTGCAGACCTGCCTGTGTGATTTCCAATCCCCAGAAGAATGTATTCATGTGAACTCGGTTCTCCAAGTGCCAGATTTAAGAAAGTGGATGCTCAGCCCCATATTTCTGCTCCTGTCTTTCAGATTGTTCCTGGGTTTCATGGTGTATTTATACTCTCTTATCCTTAATTATAGCAGCATTTTATAATATAGGAATGGAAAGTAATGTGCTTCCTGTCGTACAAGAAGATTATACCTATGGTTTAAAATTATTGGTGGGCATTTTTAAAGACTCATTTGCTCAGCCTTAGTATTTCTAACAATGCTGTTTTAGCTTCAGCTGTCTACCATAGAGAAGGCTGTGTATTTGTTTTTATTTTAGCTTTTTGTTTTGACATCATAGACCAAAACTAAGCTAAAGTGCTTTTGTTTTTTTATTTAGAGTCATCTTGGTTGCCCTTTGAGTCATTACGTCATAACAAATTGTTTTACAGTTAAACTTCATTAACATGATGTTCAGGTTACTTGGAATCTCACTTTTTAGTTAATCTTGCTCCTTTCAGATAAATGGGTGTGTCCTATGGTGTGTTTTTTTTCTTTTGCTCTTTGACTAAGTAAACTCATTGAAAATAGAAGAGGGGATGCCAGCATCTAAGCTTTCCCCCCCAAAATGAGCATACAATAAACTTTCAGTTTACAGGGAACGTTCTTTGGGACCACTACTAGGTTCTTTAGTTGTAGAGATCTAAGAGATGTTACTTGGTATGTAAAATAAGCTCATGGTTTTGGGTATGTTTATAGTAAAAGTTAAAATTTTGATCAACTCAACTAATCAAACTTTCTCTAAATGTGCATTAGATTCTGAAACACAGCCCCATTTTAAAATCTTTTGGACTATTAGAGAAAGAGAATTACTAGCTTACATTTCAAGATACTGGAGACACCACCATTTTTTCATCATTTATGATAGCCTGCTACATTTTATATGATTTAAAGATTTTTTTTTCTAGTTTCTTACCTCTCATTTGGGCTAGTGTGCAAATGTTCTGTATTAGTCTAATGATGCTATTACTGAGGTTAACATGGTTTTTCTTGCTCTCAGAAGATTTTAACTGTACCTTAAAAGCAATAGAATGCAAATACAGCCCATAGAACATAAATGAGATGTTGCATGAATATTAACAGAATCGTTTGTATAATGTGATCATGGAGTATAGCATATGCAGTTTTAAAATTATATCAGACAATTACTATTCAGCTGGCAAGACTTTAGGTGTAAAAACAAAATGTGAGGCCTGAAAAGTTTCCTCACAACTTGGAAAAAGCAAGTTTAAATTTTTCCTTACGTTGTGTAATCAGAGTATCTTTATTGAGAGGCACCCTCTGGGTTTTGGGTTTTGAGTTGTGTAATTGGGCCAGTCTTAGGGGACTGGAGCTAGGAGAAATGGTCTCAATTAGAAAGAATGTTTGTGGACTAAGTGTTGTCATGGTGACTGATACTGTAATCAAGAGTGTAAGAAGTTCATTTTCTATTGCTGCTGACTTCGGGGGGAAAAAATTGTACAGTTACTACATTGACATAGTGAGAAATATTTTTGGAGTGTAAGATCTGTGTTTAAATCATTTGGAAAGAAATGCTTTTATCCTTGTTATCCATATGCTGCCTCCCATAGCAATGCAAAGTATTCAATATGTATATGTACTCAAATACCAGAGAAAAATCAAAATTAGAAGAATTACCCCTGCCCTTGAAGAGCTGACTAGCTTTTTTGAGTTGAATATTTTAGTACAACCAGAGGGAAGAGGAGTGGAGTGGTACAGAAAAGTAGTCTTCATGGCATAAGTATGAAATTTGTGATTTTGAGTATGGACAGCACATCTTGTATCCATTACATCTGTCTCATATTCTATATTCTATAGGAACTAGAGGCCTGGTGCACGAAATTAGTGCACGGGGGGGGGGGGGCGTTGTCTATCATCCCGGCCTGTGTCTTCTCGCAGTCCAGGAGTCCTCGGGGGATGTCCGACTGACAGATTAGGCCCGCTCCCCGGCTCAGGGCTTCTGGCTGAGCTGTGCTCCCCCTGTGGGAGTGCACTGACCACCAGGACGCAGTTCCTGCATTGAGCGTCTGCCCCCTGGTGGTCAGTGTGCATCATAGCGACTGGTCATTCCGCTGTTTGGTCAATTTGTATATTGGCCTTTTATTATATAGGATAGGATAATGCTAAACAAAAGCCTTATACCAGAGATTCAAGTAACTGCATTTTTTAATTCAGTGTCTGTTATGGAATTTTGGATAAAGCAGCCAATTCGTGCATTTCCCGTTCCTTGGCTATAACATGGGACAGTGCTAAAGATTTCTCAACTATTTAATAAAGGCCTGTTCTTAGGAAGAGGAATTAGACAGTAATGGTTACCTCTGAGGATAGAAATAGACCAGATGTAGGGAAGGACAGAATTGGTCTTAACATAAAGTAGTTCATAATTCCGAGTTGTTTGTCAGTGGAAGTGTGGCTTTTTGAGTAACTGATCTCAATGTTAGTGAAACATTCAGATCAGAAAGAAGTGTCTGCATTGAGTAGGGGGCTAGATGCTGTTTTTAGCCTTTTAAGTACATAAGGTGTTCTGGTTATCCATTGCTGTGTACCAAACCACTCGAAACATAATGGCTTAGAATAATGGCAAGTATTTATTTTTTCACAACTCTGCAATTTGTGTAGGGCTTATTAGGGTTGGCTCTGCTCTCTGTGGCATCAGCTGGGGCAGCTTGACTAGGGGGCTGGAGGATCTGCTTTCAATATGGCTTAATCACAGAGCTGGCTAGCAAGTTGATGCTGGCTTTTAGCTAGGAGCTTAGCCTGGGGCCAGGGGCCTCATCAGGTACCCCAGGCTTCCGCACAGCATGATGGCAGGGCTTCAGGGGCAAGTGTCCTCAAGAGAAACTGGTAGAAGCTGCATGGCTTTTTCTACCTAGCCCAGCGGTTCTCAACCTGTGGGTCGCGACCCCTTTGGTGGTCGAACAATCATTTCACAGGGGGCGCCTAAGACCATCCTGCATATCAGATATTTACATTATAATTCATAACAGTAGCAACATGACAGTTATGAAGTAGCAACAAAAATAATTTTATGGTTGGGTCACAGCATGAGGAACTGTATTTAAAGGGCCAGAAGGTTGAGAATCACTGACCTAGCCTCTTAAGTGAAGCTATACCTACCACAAATGTCCACCCACATCCAAGGGAAGAAGACCTCTTGATGGGAGGAGTGTCAGAGAATTTGTTAACATACTTTTTAAATCCTTTACATAAAGTTGTGTTTTTTTAAAGGAAATAAATAGTTCTTTGTTTATTCATTTTAAATAGCTTTACTGAGAGATATATAAGTCATATACCACACATTTCACTCATTTAAAGTGTACAGTTCATTATTTTAATAAGTTCACAGGGTTATGTTAGCATCACTATGATCTAATTTTAGAATATTTTTATCCCTCACAAAAGAAACCCATACCCACTCCCCTTCTCTTCAGCCTCTGTAAACCACACTTTTACTTTCTATCTCTGTAGCTTTGCCTGCTTTGAACATTTATAAATGGAATAATACAATATGTGGTATTTTGATACTGGCTTCTTTCAATTAGCATGTTTTTGAGATCATCATACTGTAGCATGTATCAGTACTTTATTCCTTTTTATTGCTCAGTAACATTCTATAGAATAGATATTTTATGCATTTATCCATTGATCAGTTGATAGGCATGCAGGTTGTTTCTACCTTTTTATTTTATTTTGTTGTTGTTAATCCTCACCCAAGGATGTTTTTTCCATTGATTTTCAGAAAGAGTAGAAGGGAAGGAGGGAAGAGAGGAAGAGAGAAACATCAATGTGAGAGAGACACATCAATAGGTTGCTTCCCCAACATGCCTCATCCGGGGTTGGGTATGGAATCTGAAGTTCAGGTACGTGCCCTTGATTGAAAATCAAGCCAATGGCCCTTCGCTGCACAGGACAACGCTCAATCAACTGAGCCACTCCGGTTGGGCCAAACTGTTTTTCAAAGTGTCTGTATGATTTTACATTTCCACCAGCAGCATTACAATTTCTTCACTCATAAAATTTTGATAAAGGGGGAAAGCACAGGGAGTAGAAAGTGTGTGGAACTGGGTTTTAATTTGTATTCTGCACTCCACTTCACCTCACTGATAAAATAATTTAGCTTTTCTAGTCCCCATTTTCCTAAGATTCCTTTCAGTTCTCTAATTCTTTGAGCATCTCATGAGGGGAGGTAAGCATTGCTAGAAGCATTCAGGCAAATCTGGGTGAACAAAGGGAATGTGATAAGATATAAAATTAAATTAAGGTTAGATTAGTTGATAGTGGAGAATCCTTTCCAATTCTAAAATTTTATAATTCTATTTTGTGTTTATGTATTTAGTAACATGTGAGCTAATCCTATATAATAAAGAACTAATATGCTAATTAGACCAAACAGCAGAATGACTGTCCGGACGACCTTCCGGACGAAGGCGCGGCTGCGAGGGCCAAGCCCCTTGCACGAATTTCGTGCATTGGACCTCTAGTGTAAATATAATACTTCATCTTCTCTCATCATCAGTGTATAAAGGTCAAGGTACTGGTATTTATTATTTCTGTAATTACGTGGCACTGATATTTGCATTTGTGTCAAATAACCTTTCAGTTACATAGCTATGTTACCCTGAAACTGACTTACTGTTTAAATTTTAAGTAATTTGTTTATTTTAATTAAAGCATAATTTACATACCTTAAAGTTATCCTTTTAAGTGTACAGTTCTTTGAGTTTTGACAAATGAATAGTCAGTAACTAGCACCTCAATCAAGATACAGAACAGTTCCATCCTCCTCCTAAATATCCTCATGCTCCTTTGTAGTCAACCCTGCCTCCAGGCTCTGATTAGTTTGCTTTTGTCTTTTTGAGAATATCATATAAATGGAATCATAGAATATACTAGATGCCAGATGCACAAAATTCATGCAAGGGGCTTGGCCCCCGCTGTTGCTGAGGCTGCCTCTGCCTCGGCCCCCGCCACTACGGCTTCGTCCAGAAGGTTGTCTGGAAGGACTTCTGGTCTAATTAGCGTATTATGCTTTTATTATTATAGATAACCTTTAAGTCTGGCTTCTTTCACTTAGCATGATACGTTCCTTTTTATAGATGAGTAGTATTTCACTGTATGGATGGTACCATGTTTGTTTATCCATTCACCAGTTGAAGGACATTTGGGTTGTTTCCAATTTTAGTACCTATAAATAAAGCTACCATAAATCTTTGCATACAGGTTTTTGAGTGAACATAAGTTTTCATTTCACTTGGGTGAATACCTAGAAGTGGGATTGCTGAGTCATATGGAAACTGTATATTAAACTTTTATAAGAAACTGCCAAACTAGTTTCCGAAGTGGCTGTGCCATTTTGCATTCCCATCAGCAATGTATGAGAGATCCAGTTGCTCTTCCTCATTTGAACTTGTTATGTTCAGTTTTTAAAAAAACTTTTAGCCATTCTAATAGGAATCTAGTTTAATTTGCCTTTGTGGTTTAATTTGCATTTCCCAATAACTAGTGATTTTGAGCATTTTTCCATGTACTCATTTGCCATCCATATATTTCCTTTGGTGAAGTGTTTATAAAAATCTTTACCATTTTTACTGGGTTATATATCCTAGATACAAGTCCCTTGTCATATAAAAATTTGCAAAAATTTTCCCAATTAGTGATTTGTCTTCTCTTTTTATTTTATTTTTTTAAATATATTTTATTAATTTTTTACAGAGAGAAAGGGAGAGAGATAGAGAGTTAGGAACATCGATGAGAGAGAAACATCAATCAGCTGCCTCCTGCACATCTCCTACTGGGGATGTGCCCGCAACCCAGGTACATGCCCTTGACCGGAATCGAACCTGGGACCTTTCAGTCCGCAGGCCGACGCTCTATCCACTGAGCCAAACCGGTTTCGGCGATTTGTCTTCTCTTAACAGTGTCTTGTGGAGAACATAAGTTTTCAATTTGATAGAAGTCCAATTATAAATTTTTTCCTTTTTGGATTGTGTTTTTGGTTTCACATCTAGGAAATCTTTACCTAAGGTTACAAAAATTTTTTCACCTGTTTTCTGCTAGAAGTTTTACAGTTTTTGGTTTTATATGTAGGACTTATGATCCATCCTGAGTTAATTGTTATATATGGTGCAAAGTATGGGAAATACTTTTTATTTTTTACATATAGATTTCCAGTTGTTCCAGCACCAATTGTTTAAAAGACTATCCTTTCTTTATTGAATTGCCTTTGTCAATAGATATGTAAGTCTATTTTTGAACTCTTTATTCTGTGCCGTTGATTTACATACCTAGTTAATATTGGTTTCTGTTTGAATATGGTTGTGTACTTAAGAGCCAGGCTGCCTAGGTCTGAGACTGAGTTCAAGCATTTACCCCATGACCTTGGGCAAGTTATTTAGCCTCTGGAGGCCTCAATTTTCTCATCTATAAAACAGAGATAATTATAGTACACAACCCTCATAGGGATTTTTATGTGGATTGAGTGAATAATTATAAAGCACTTAGAATGGTGGCTGGAACCTATATAGCGTTTCTTATACTCCTGGGTCTTATTTTGAACTTCTATCATGACTGGATTTCCATTGAAATTAACATATTCCATTATTTCATCTCAGATCATCATTATGGAAGTTTAACTGTGAGATGAATTTCAATGAAAATTTTATATCACTACTCAGTAAAAGATTAAGATGTTCACTTTTGTCTTCTGTTAGGGAAATAATGTTTAACTTAGTTTAGTAGCTGTATCAGGTGAATTCCAACTCCTGAAACATTTCTCTGATTTTGAAAGTATATCCATTACCTTTTACAGATCATAGTAAGAAATACAGCCTAAACTAACCTACTTCATAAGTGGTTCTTGTGAAAAAGGTAGTTTAAAACATGGCCTTTCCATGTTTGTGATTTTAGGCACTTTACTTGCAACATTATTATGGTACTAAGCTTACGATTGTTTATAACTTTTATTTTAAAGAACTTTGAGTAATTGTTCAAAAAGTACAGCAACATAAGTCCTAGATTTCTTCTTTATAGACCATATCGAGAGTCCAGATAATTTTTTACTATAGAATTCTTTAGCTATAGGATTAATTTCTCTCCATGAACAAGAACTGAAGTGTCCAGAGAAAATTCTTAGAAAAATAGTAAATTACATTGAACTCCTCAGCATTGGCAGCTGTTATGGACTGAATGTTTCTGCCCCCCACCCTCCAAATTCATATGTAGAAACCCTAACTCCCAGTGTGACTGCATTTGGAGATGAGGAAGTAATTAAGGTTAAATGAGGTCCTAAGCGTGGGGTCCTGATCTGATAGGATTAGTGTCCTTCTAAGAAGAGACATTAGAGAACTTGCCCTGTACCCACCAAGGAAAAGCCATGTGAGGATATAGGAGGAAGGCAGTCATCTTCAAGCCAGGAAGAAATTTCTTACCAGAAACCAACCCTGATGGTACCTTGATCTCTTGGACTTTCCAGCCCCCAAAAATGTGAGAAATAAATTTCTGTTATCTGAGTTGCCCAGTCTGTGTTATTTTGCCATGGCAGCCACACTTAGTTGGCTTGGGATGCTAAAACAAAATACCATAGATTGGGTGGCTTAAACAATAGAAAATTTTCTCACAGTTCTAGAGGTTGGGAAGTCCAAGATCAAGATGCCAGTAGATCAAGTGTCTGGTGTCAAAGATTAAATACATCCTCATGCTACAGACCAGTGTTCCTTCTAATGCATTATGTAAAACAAGTACCACATTTATTGTGCAATATTGAGTAAATAACTTTAAGATAGTTTGCTAATGATTACTGTGATTAAATGATTGGATTTTTAGTACTGTATCTATGAGAGCCTGTTTCTGGTGCATGAATAGTTCTGCATAAAATTTATAGACCCACAAAGAGGTAAAACAGTGCAAGTAGATTCAAAAGTAATTTGGAAAAATGCCCTTTTAGTGACTATATGTTGATAGGCCAGTTAAACTTTAAAAAGGGAATCTGACTGATTCCAGGCATACTATTTATAAAATTATGTGAGCTTTCGATTAGAGTATCTAACGATAGAAATGGTGGCATTTGAAAAATTACATTGTCGGAATAGCTCAATGAATGTTTGACTTAGACTTGTACCTTCGGGTTCTTCCATTTTCTGGAGTATATTGCAGAAATCAATCAGGGTTTAGAAACTAAGACCCATTCATTAATTTATGGAAGGATAGAGAAATATATTTCTATGTGGGTGTACTTCCAATTTCAGAAATGTTTTAAGAAGCAGAAGTTTTAAAAGTAAAGCATCAGAAAAAGAAAACGGGTCAGGCTGGGCTGGTGTGGCTCAGTGTTTGAAGTCAACCCATGGTAAGGGCACATGCCCGGGTTTTGGGCTCAATCCCCAGTAGGGGGCGTGCAGGAGGCAGCCGATCAGTTATTCTCTCTCATCATTGATGTTTCTATCCCTCTATCCCTCTCCCTTCCTCTCTCTGAAATCAATAAAAAAAATTAAAGAAAAAGGTCAGAGCTGAAATATTCCTTAATATCATCCAGTATTCTGTGTGTGTATGTATGAGAATTTCTTCAGTTGTTTCAAAAAAGTGTTTTTACAGTTGGTATGTTGAAACAGGATCCAAATACTGTCCACACATTGGTTGATATGTCCTTGAGTCTTCCTTTATCTATAACAGTTTCCTCCTGTTTTTCCCACATGCCTTTTGAAAAAAAAAATATTCTATTCATTTTCTAACTATGCTACAGTCAGTGAGAGTAGGAAGTATTATTTCAGCACTAAGAATTATGCCTGGCACCCATAGACAATATTTATTAAATAATGTTAATAATACTCAAGGTCTGTGTTTTGTACCCACAGGTTGATCCAAAAGACTACATGTTCAGTGGACTGAAGAATGAAACAGTGGGTCGCTTACCTGGGAAGGTGGCAGGACAACAGTTTCTCATTCAAGACTGTGAGAGCTGTAACATCTATATTTTTGATCACTCTGCTACAATTACTATTGATGACTGTACCAACTGCATCATTTTTCTGGGACCTGTGAAAGGCAGTGTGTTTTTCCGCAATTGCAGAGATTGCAAGTGCGCACTGGCCTGCCAACAGTTTCGTGTGCGGGACTGTAGAAAGCTGGAAGTCTTTTTGTGCTGTGCCACTCAACCCATTATTGAGTCTTCCACAAATATCAAGTTTGGCTGTTTTCAATGGTACTACCCTGAATTAGCTTTCCAGTTCAAAGATGCAGGGCTAAGTATCTTCAATAATAACTGGAGTAATATCCATGACTTTACACCTGTGTCTGGAGAAGTCAACTGGAGCCTTCTTCCAGAAAATGCTGTTATTCACAACTATGTTCCTCTGCCTACTACCAATGAGCTCCAAGCTGTCCGCATTTCCACAGAAGCCAATAGAAGTATCGTGCCTGTAACCCACGGTCAGAGACAGAAGAACAGTGATGAGTCATGCCTAGTGGTATTATTTGCTGGTGATTATACTATCGCAAATGCCATGAAACTAATTGATGAGGTAAGGAGAGAGAGGAGAGAGATGAACATACACCTGGTTAGAAACACACCACTTTGCAGAGAACTTTCATTCTTTTCAACTTGGCTATGAGAAATACAGATAATCCTTAAGTTATAGTCTTTTCCCCCCTACAGATTTATCTGTAAGCTGAATGTTTAGGTTTCAAAATACTTTCCCAAAGAAAATTTTTAAAAATATAATCCCATTCAGTAAGCATTTATTAAGCACGTATTACATGCGAGTTACTCTGTTACTATATTTCATTGATTATAGGATGCCCATTTGTTTTTGTACATTTTTGTTATCTGAAATGGATCTTACAATTGATGGCAACTTAGAGCTGTTGAAATCTAGTATATGCTGGGGTTGGAGATACATTGACAAAATTCTCTGCCCTCAAAGAACTTCCATTCTTTATAATAAATGAATTCCACGGAAGTTCACAAAGTGTAGTACTGCATAGTAAAGCTTGACCTTTTATAATTATTTAGTGGGGAAATTTACTTCGAGTTTTAATTGGTCAGGAAGTGGGAAAGACATTTAGGAATACAACTTTCAGAGCCTGTTGTGACCATGAGAGCAACCTTTACATTACTTTCCTTTTTGTCCTTTGCTCTATTGCCATGAAGGAGAGATTGGTGCAGAAGAATGAGGTGGGAGCTAGGATAGCAGAGGTCATGGGCTCATGAACAGGGGCTTTTGGTGAGTTTGTGAATAGAGAAAGGTTCTTTGGGTAGCAGCTTCCACTTGAAATATAACTAGGGCTGTAGGGACTCCAGAAGCAGCAGTTCCTGTGTTGATAGGTGCTCCTGTAGGGAGGCAGCGGCAGTATTTCTGCTTATCCATTCATCAGACATTCTTCACGAGGAGTCTGTTTGAATTTAAAAAGTCAAACTTCCATGGAATGGAGAAGTGAATGGAAATATCAGCAAGTCTCTTTTGATTAGACTTTTAAAGAGTTGTAACAGTTATGTCAAGAGGAACAATTTTAGGGAAAAAAACGCTAAAAATGACTACCTTTTGTAGATATACAGTCTACAATGTAGAAAACTCATGTCTGAAATGTACAAAGTATATCAGATCTAGTTTTCAAAACAACAGAAGCCAGAGTATAATTTTAAGACTTTGATATTTTTTTTTTTATTATACCAATCTGATGAAAGCATGCTATGAATCTGGTAAGATCTAGAAAAAGTGTTTCTAGCCTTTGAGTTATCTAATAAGATGTTAATCCAACATCTGAGAGGAAAATCTTTTCATTATAATGTATAGCAGTTTTTTAAAATCTACAAATAGTTTTCAAAAGGTGTAATTATTCAGGTTAAATTCCTTTTTGGTAGGTAATGAGGAGTGGACATAAAGAATATATAGTACTAGAGGCCCAGTGCACGAATTTGTGCACGAGTGGGGTCCCAAGGTGGTGGAGGAGCCGGGATGTGATAGCCCTCCGAGCGGGCGGTGGGATGCCCTTGCCAGCCCAGGATCCGGATCTGTCCCGCTGACATTTGCACCAGTTGTCGGGAGCCACCTGGCGGCCACTTTTATATTGTTTCTTCCTTGTGGAGTGTCTAGGGAGGGAAAGCAACTGTGGTGCCTGAGGCCGACTTCCAGGAGGCCAGTGGCACTGTTGGGACCGTGCCTGCAGCACTGGTCCATCAGTGCCTGGCCTGTTCTCCAGAGCTTGGACCTGCAGGACTACTGAGGGAGTGAGTGGCTGCCGCCAGGCTGGTGGGCCACCTGGACGGGTCAGTCAACTGAGTGGTGCTCCTGCTGTGGGAGTGCACTGACCACTAGGGGGCAGCTCCTGCATTGAGCGTCTGCCCCCTGGTGGTCAGTGTGCATCATAACGACCAGTTCCAATCGTTCCAGTTGTTTGGTCTTAACAGTAGCTTAGGCTTTTATATATATAGTATGTTTAAATAAAAAAGCCATCAAGCCTGGCCAGTGTGGCTCAGTGATTGAGTGTTGGCCCATGAACCAGGAGGTCACAGTTCGATTCCCAATCAGGGCACATGCCTGGGTTGTGGGCTCGATCCTCAGTGGGGAGCGTGCAGGAGGCAGCCGATCTGTTTCTCTCTCTCTCCATCCCTCCCCTTCCTCTCTCTAAAATCAATAAAAATATACATTTTTAAAAAGCCCTCAAAACAAACACTGTCTTCATGTGTCATCAAGTGTTCTTAACCTTTGTATCTGATGTGTAAAATGACAGTGTTGTGTGCCCTCAAAAGCAATATGACCAGTGAGGTTCTTTAGATATCCTTCTGGAATACAAAATAATTTAAAACAAACACATCTAATAATAATGATAATAGCTAACATGTATATAGTGTTTACTATATATCGGGCACTATTGTAAGTGGTTTAACTCACTTAATTCATAATAACCTATGAAATAGGTGTCATGGTTACTTTTTTTACAGATAAGGGAAATGAGCCAGAGAGAGGGTACGTAACTTGCAAAAGTCACTCACATGGTAAATGCAGAGCCATTACTTAAGTCCAGGTAATGTGACATTGTAGGTTGCATCTTAACCCTTAAGCCTGATGCTAGTATGCCATCTCAGTTGTAAAGAAAAGTTGATAAATGCCTGGTGGAGCAGGAATGTGACCAAAAGTACATGGAGTCAAGACAGATACTGTCATCCAGCCTAGAAAGAAAAACCCTGGGACTTTTTTGGCTAGTTGTCCTACCTAATTTTGAAACCACAAAATTAAGGAATAAAAAGAGAACAAAAAGAAGGAAATGCCAAGCACATGTGAAGAGGGTATCAAAACGTGCTGAAAACCAGTGACTTAAGAGAGAGATTGCATTTTTTTAAATTAGGCTCAAGTTCTTAGGAAAATATGTGTAGAGGCTCGTTAATTCTGAGATGGAAAAAATAAAGCGAGTCTTTTTTGTATTATAACACAAATATCTTAGAATAGTCTTAGACTGGAATTGCTAACTCTGGTTTTGTTAAACCCTAGGAGTATCACAGAATTTTGTTTCTGTTATTTCTACAAATTAAACATGTCATAATGTTTTTTTTTCTTTTATAGATAGGAAGTATAAAACTTGAGAGGGTCCAGAAAAGCTGGGTAAAGCAAAAAGCACCTTCCATAGGGAGTCAAGAGAAGTACTGGGCCTTGGTTATTTCACCTAAAAATCAGTTTCGCTGGCTGTTACTTAGATGACAGATATGCAAGGGATAAATTAGAATAAATCTAATTTGAATTGTTTAGAAGTGTTACATAATTCAAGTTGGGTAGTTACCACTATTTTCAAGTCTCTAAAAGTAGAATAATTTTCATGAAAAAGAGTCTCTTCAAATATTTACAGTGAAATCATGTTTCAGAGTTCATTATTTGTTTTTAGGTAAAGGTATTTTGAATTAGTCATCTTACTTTTGTCAGTTTATGTGTCTGACTATAAAATGAGAGGTAATGAGCAGTCTAGAAAATTAGAAACAGATGTAGGATTGTTTTAAGTAATATTGCAGTCATCACCTGGCAGTGATGTCTATGTAATTTTCTGCTGCTTTTTAATTTTTTCCTGAGTTAGCATTGAGGGCTGTGAAAAAATAATTTGAGTTTGAATCCAATTTGATGGAATGGGAATAATGTAGTCATAGGATGAAATACTATTAATCATTAAAACTGATTTTATAGAATAACTGGAAAATGTTCACAGTTATGTGGAAAAGTTGTAGATTATATAAGTATCTGATCTATTTTAAGTAGGTAAGTCTCAAAAGTTATAGATACTAAAACATTAACAGTTATGGTTATTCTTAGGAAGTGAATTAAGCAAAGGGTATTTTCATTTTTGTAGTTCTATGGACCTTGCAATGAACATGTATTATTTCTGTAATGGGGGAAAGTAAACTTGGGAGGGTAAAAGGTAGTATGCAAAGGAAGTATGCCAATATGGCAGTGACGTCTTTGAGTATGCATCTTGGTTGATGTTTGTTTTTTTTTTCAAATGTTCTTTATTGAGCATATATGTTACTTTCATATTAAAAACCCAGTACACTTTGCTAAAAACTGAAGTGGTTGAATGACTGCATTTTAAAAACTAATAATTATTTTAAAAATTAATATGCACTCATTGAAGAAAACTATAGAAATAAAGAAGAGTAGAAATATGTTTGAAAATCATAATATACTTACTGTACTTTGAATAGTCTCTTAAAGAATATTCTTTTTAAGAACAGTCTTTTTTATTTAGTCTGTAATCAGATTAATTGGTTTTTAAATATATATGTGTTTTTATTTTTTACAATATTATAGATATCCCACATTTTCCCCTGCTTTACCTCCCTCCACCCAGCCCCTATAACCCCCCTCCAGGCCTTCACCACACTATTATCTGTGTCCATGGACTTTGCATACAAGTATATAAGTTCTTTGGTTAACCTCTTCCCGCTCCCCCAGATATGTCAGTCTGTTCCATGCCTCCATGCCTCAGGACTTATTTTGTTGGTCAAATTATTTTGTTTATTAGATTCCACAAATAAGTGATATCATGTGATATTTGTCTTCTCTGACTGGCTTATTTCACTTGGCATAATAAATTTCAGGTCCATCCATACTGTTGCAAAGAGTAAGAGATCCTTCTTTTATACAGCTGCATAGTATTTGAGTAATTAGATTTAAAAAAATGTTTTTTATTGATTTCAGAGAGGAAAAGAGAGGGAGAGATAGAAACATCAATGATGAGAGAGATTCATTGATCGGCTGCCTCCTGCATGCCCACTACTAGGGATTGAGCCTGCAACCTGGGCATGTGCCTTGACCAGTAATTGAACCATGACCTCCTGGTTTATGGGCCAGTGCTCAACCACTGAGCAACACCAGCTGGGCTCAATCAATTGGGTTTTAATCATAACTCTGTTACTTAATAGTTGTGTGATCTTGGGCAGGTTTCTTAACCACTCTGTGCCTTAGTTTTCTTATCTGTAAAATGAGGATAATAATAGTACCTAAAGTGCATAAAATGCCTGGTACAGAGTAAGTACTCCATAAATATAATCTATCATTATTGTGCTATGCTCTATAAATTTGTATCATGTTTTTAAAAATTAACATTGTTATACAAGCTTTTCCCCATTTTATTTGTTATGTTTAATGAACTATGGTATTTTATCATGTCAATGCACCATAATTTACTTTACCGTTCTCCTTTCGTTATCACAAAACTAAGGTTTCCATCTATTCAAAAAAATTTTAATTATATTTAAAACCCTTTGCGGTCCAATTTCATTTTTGGAATTCAAACAGTCTGGTCCAAATTAATTGACGGGATTGAATGTTGAACCGGTTTGCAGTGTCGACCTCAGCCTCGACGTTGGACCGAAAAGGGTTAAAATTTTGAGGGATCATTCACATTTGTTTGATCCTTAATCTTAGCAGTAGGCATTGTGTATCAGTTCTTAAGCAGAACCACCCATCTGGAAGAAGGAATCTTGTATATGTGAAAACCTGTTTAGCAAACAACCCAAATTAGAGTTATAACTAAAACAAAACTCAGCATACTGTGTCATATTTTATACAGAAATGTACTAGGAAATATTGTTTTAATCTCAGAAGGTCATTTTAAAATCTAAGTGAAATTCTGTTTTCCACAGATGGTTCATTTAGGTTTTTTCCTGATTCGGACAAAGGAAGTATCCATGAAAGCTGAGGATGCTGAGAGGGTTTTTCGGGAAAGAGCACCTGAATTCCTTCAACTTCTGGACAAAGGTACCTTCTGGCTGATTGGTACACTTTTGTGTTTATCCTCTTGAGATGCTGATTTGGTTTACTCTGGCCTTTAGCTTTTCTCTTACATTGCCTTCTCTTTCTCACTTGTTTTGTGTGTTTTCCTACTACTATTCAGAAATGTCAAAATTTCACATCATTCAGAAAGACCTATATGATAATTAGAAATCAGACATTACATTTTTTCTATTCTATTGCCTTAGTTCTGAAAAATCACATTTATTATGTGTTTTATTATTTTTTATTATTTTATTATTGTATTATTATACTGTCCAGAATTACAAAGCACTTGATAAGGATTCTTTCTGTCTTCAGTGTGCTTTGACCATACATGAAAAGTAAGAAATATAAATAAAATGGTATAGTATTTTATGTAGTTGATATGATTGATTAATTTCCCATGCAAAAATAGGATTGTTTACCCCAGCGGGCAAATGCTACCAGTACATTTCAGATATTGAAAATATGTCTGCAAAAAGAGGATCTAGAGTTAGTGTGACCTTCTGAAGGGTTGCTGTCTGCCTATATGTATTGAAGATGTGCTGATTCTGGAGGACAGAGTACTGCTTTTCTTTGAGATGGGAACATTGTTTGCTTAAGGCCCTTAAGTATGATAATGGTATTGTGGTTATGTAGGCGATGCATGCTGATTTGTTATGATATCTGTTGTTTTCAAATGGCTCAGCAAAACAAAATCGAAGTGTGTGTGCTCATGCACGTGTAGCATATGATAAAGCAAATCAATATATAACCTTATTGTATGTGTGTCTGTTTGAAGACACCTTTAGTATGTATTATTGATTCATTAGCATTGAACTTAGAGCCAGCAGCACTATAACTCAGGCCTAAATGAAGCTTCCCTAACAGCTATTTTCTCTGTAAGATATATCACAGTCTTTCTAAACTTAGGAACATTATACAGCACTTCAGCACTACATTTGTGGGCCATTTAAAATAGCAAAATCACAACAAAAAGAACAAAATGTGGAAAATGTGGCACTAACTAGACTATGAAAAGGACACTTATTTACAGAATGAATGCTGAAACAAGAAGCAGAGCATCACTTTGTTCATTTTCACCTGGGACCATGCATGTCAGGCAACTTTTTTATGCCACTCTGTGAGTGTCCACAAATGACCATGAAGAAACTTTTATTGATTTTGGGGTCACAAATAAATTTTTCCAGGTAAGCAGATTCACAAATAAAGAATTCACAAATAATGAGGATCAACTGTATATGTATTTCATGTTAAAAATTTTCCTTTAAGCACTGCTTTAAGCATCCAGCAAATTTTGATCTGATCTATTTTCATTTAATTCAGGGTTTGGCAAAATATGGCCTCCTGTATGTTTCATAAATGAAGTTTTATTTGGAGCACAGCCACACTCATTATTGTATCTACTAGAGGCCAAGTGTTTGAAATTCGTGCACCCGGGGGGTGTCCCTCAGCCCAGCCTGCGCCCTCTCACAGTCCAGGAGCCCTCAGGGGATGTCTGACTGCCACGGAGGCAAGAGGCACTCCTGCCACCACTGCTGCGCTTGCCAGCTGTGACCCCAGCTTCTGGCTAAGCAGCGCTCCCCCTGTGGGAGCACACTGACCACCAGGGGGAAGCTCCTGCGTTTAGTGTCTGCCCCCTGGTGGTCAGTGCACATCATAGCAACCAGTTGTTCTGCCATTTGGTCAATTTGCATATTAGGGTTTTATTATATAGGATTGTTTTGTTGATTTCCTACCTAGTCCTTTATAGAAAAAGTATATTGGCCTCCCCAACCCCCCCCCCATGTAGTTCAGAATATTTTTTAGTTTCCCTTGAGACTTTTGACTTAATCCATGGATTATTTAGAATTATATTGTTTAATTTCTAAACATTTGGAGATTGTCCAGATGTGTTTCTGTAATAGATTTGTAGATTGTTATTATGGTCTGAAAATACACATTGTATAATTTCTATTTTCTTTACTTAAGGTTTGTTTTGTGGTACAGATTATAGTGTATCTTGGCAAATATTCCATATACATGTGAGGAGAATGTATAATCTGCTTTTGTTGGGCCTCTATAGAGGCCCACTAGGTCAATTTGGTTGATAGTGTTATTCAGGTCATCTATATCCTTACTGATTTTCTGCTTACTTGTTCTATGAATTAAAGAGAGAGGAGTGTCAAACTCTCCAACTATCATTGTGGATTTGTCCATTTCTCTTTTCAGATCCTATCAGGTTTTGCTGTGAAACTTTGTTGTTAGATTCATACACATTTAGGATTGTTATGTCTTCTTGGAGAGTCCTTTATGATTATGTAATGTCCCTTTTTGTCTCTGATAATCTTCCTTGTTCTGAAATATACTTTGCCTGACATATATAGCTACTCCAGCTTTTGTTTGGTTGTTAGTGTTTCATCATATACTAGAGGCCCGGTGCACGAATTTGTGCACCAGTGGGGTCCCTCGGCCTGGCCTGCAGGATCAGGCCGAAACCAGCTCTCCAACATCCCCCAAGGGGTCCTGGATTGCAAGAGGGCGCAGGCCAGGCCAAGGGACCCCACTGGTGCACGATTGGGGCCAGGGAGAGACATGGGAGGTTGGCCAGCTGGGGAGGGACCACAGAGGGCTCCAGGGCGTGTCTGGCCTGTCTCATTCAATCCTGATCAGCCAGACCCCAGCAGCAAGCTAACCTACCGGTTGGAGCATCTGCCCCCCCGGTGGTCAGGGCACGTCATAGCCAGTGGTTGAGCAGCCTTAGTATATCATAGCATATTACGCTTTGATTGGTTGAACAGATGACCAGACACTTAGCATATTAGACTTTTATTATATAGGATCTTTATCCCTTTTAACTTATCAAAGTCTATATACCTAAAGTGAATTTTTTGTAGACAGCATATAGTTGGTTCTTGCTTTTTAATCCTGTCTGACAGTCACTCTTTTAACTGGTATATTTAGACCATTCACATTGAAAAGGATTGATATAGTTGGATCGACATCTACCATCTTGCTAGCTGCTTTCTGTTCCATTTGTTCTTTCTTTTTACCACTTTTTGTTTAATTGGCCTTTTTTTATAACTCCATTTTATCTCTATTGACTTATTGTTTCTACCTTTTATATAATGGTTGCCTTAGGTTTTACAGCATATATATTTGAGTCCACCTTATAGTAATATTATACCACTTCACCTATAGTATACACTGAGTGGCCAGATTATTATGACCGCCCTATCAGTACTTCATTGGGCCACCTTTTGCCTTCAGTACTGTGGTGATTCTTCTTGGCATTGACTCCACGAGATGTTGACAGGTGATGCAATGACTCTGACACCATGCCTAATGAATAGCACTGTCCAGTTCTGTGAGATTTGATGGTTGTGGAACCAGCTGCCTAATGGCTCTTTTAACTTCGTCCCACAAATGCTCAATTGGATTGAGATCTGGTGATTGTGGGGGCCACCTAAGCAAGGTAAAGTCTCCCTCATGTTCTTGAAACCACTCCTGCACAATACGAGCACCGTGGCATGGCGCCTTGTCTTGTTGGAAGAAGCCGTCTCCATTGGGATACGCCACCAACATGATGGATGAACTTGATCAGCAACGATACTTAGGTATGTTGTGCTATTCAGACGTTTATAATGGTCTGGCCCTCTAGGAACTTCGGCGGGAAATTATAGCTAATTTGCCTACAAACGTCAGGTGGTCATAATAATCTGGCCACTCAGTGTATAAGGTCCTAATAACATTATATACTCAAATCTTTCCTCCCATCTCTGTATCATTATTACATATCTTACTGTTGCATAGGCTACAAATATCTAATACACTATTGTTATTTAAACTGTCAGTTATTTTTAAAAGAATTAAAAATAATAAAAATATAGATAATATTTTACTGGAGGCTTTAGAGCAGAAGAATGTCATGGTCCCTTTAAAATGTAACTTTTATCATTCTGCTTGCTCTAAGGGGGAAGCAGAGAGCCATCTGGAGGCTGTTGCTGTAATCTAATTGAGACATGGTAGTGGCTTGTTCCAAGGTCATGTTAGATTACACAGAAGACTTTATTAGATAGGGCATTCAGGAATCTTTTTTGTTTACTTCAAAGTCTCACAATCTTTTTGACAGTTCAAATATTTAGATTTCAAGCTTCTGCGAACTATTTGATAAGACGTACACATTAAAACACTAAAAGCATGACTAATGATCCTTGTTGACCTCATAGTTCAGTTTGAAATAAACACTGAAATTGTAGTTATCATTATTAGATAGAAAGACAAATAGGACTTCTTAAAGAGTACATTGTCAGCATTGTAGTTTTTTAGTTTAGGATTATCCATACATATTAATCAAAATTGATGCACTTGTCTTCCTTTATTGTTAGTGATTGTTTGTTGACAAATTATTAGGTCGCTTACCAGAAGCTCATAATATTCTATTCAAAAAAATATCAACCAAGTTTCACATTTGGGTAATTCTACCAAAATTGGATTTCTGAATTATGGATTATGTTGTCTTTGTAGAATGCAGGTACTTTCAGTAATAAATGTCTGACTTTTAAAAGTATATCTACTGTATATCCTTGTACTGATCCTGACTAAAAGCATACTGTATTCTACGTTAATTCAAACTTTCCACTTTCTGCAAAACTGGAAACGCTGCATTTATTATCAACTTTTTCTTTTCTCAGTATTTATTTTGTTTAAAATACTTTTTAAGTCCTTTTGCAGATTTACAAATGTACTATCTCTATTCAGAAGTACAGAGTACAATGCCTCATGTGTGCCTATCCCATTTTATCAACTTTTTGCCATTCTTGAAAAAAATAATTTATATTCTTTTTGCTGAAATATTTTAATCAAATTGTAATGTCTTGTCATTTCACCCCTACATATTCGTGTGTGTCTTCTTAAACAAAATTAAAAACAGGTGTTTTCTTAAGTAATCACAATATATTATGACATCTATTTCTTGCCTCAGGAGTTGCAAAATGATCATTTTCTAATCATGTCACTACCTCTATATTTAATAATGGATGTTAACAGAACTTCTTGTACAGAAGAACTGTTTGGTTAATTTGAAATATGCTTCATGATTAACAATTCCTTAACCTCATCGAATAACCAGTCCATACCCAAATTTCCCTAATTGTCTAAAAACATTCTTTATGTATTCTTTAAAATACTTTTATTGATTTCAGAGAGGAAGGTAGAGAGAGAAAGAGAGAGAGAGAAACATCAATGATGAGAGAGAATCATTAATCAGCTGTCTCCTGCACACCCCCTACTGGGGATCAAGCCCCCAACCCAGGCCTGTGCCCTGACAGGGAATCAAACTGTGACCTCCTGGTTCATAGGTCAACGCTCAACCACTGAGCCATGTCGGCTGGGTTCTTTATGTATTTTTATAGTTAATGTGATCCAGATCTAAAATTGTCCCACTCACTGTATGTCATTTTTTGTATCACTCTTAATGAGAAACGGGTGTCTCCCTCTCCCCCCTTTTTTGTCTTGTAAAAGAAACCTGGTCATTTGTCCTGTGTGCCTGGGTGTGTTTAATGTGTTCCTCTACAGTTCTTGTAGACTATTAAGTTAGATCAAAGCCTTGTTTACACTCACGTTTAGGGGTTCTTTTGGGCAAGAATATTTCACAGGTGGTACTGTTTCCTATATCATTACATGAGAGGGCACATAACTTGATTATTGCACTTTTAGTGATACTAGAATTGATTAAGTTCAGCTGCTGACAATCTTCTTTTTGAAGTTTCTTATCACTCTTCCCTGTGGGATGCTAAAAACATTGATGATTGTTGCCTGATTCAATTATTTTATTAGGAGTTGCAAACTGATCATTTTCTAATCATGTCACTACCTCTATATTTAATAATGGATGTTAACAGAACTTCTTGTACAGAAGAACTGTTTGGTTAATTTGAAATATGCTTCATATCAGAAAAGCAGAATAAATAAAGGGAAAATAAGCATTAATTTTCAAAGTAATAATTTGGTGCCCTAGCAACCTATAGTAGTATCCAATGAATTTTCTTTGTTTCTCTCTTTTCTAAATATCATTAGTAGCTCATGAATTTTTATATATTCAGTATGTTTTAATAAATTGCAGTCATTATTCCTTCTGATCTCACCGAGGCTCATCTTTGGCCATTTGGAGCTCCTTCAAGCTGGCTCATGTTTCCTCTTCTTACAACCCCATTGGCCTTTGATAGCCTCATTGCTTTTTGGCTCAACAAGATATTCCTGGTTGATCTTACCCATTTCTTGCCTCAGACACAGAATCGTCCATTTTTCTGAGTTACCTTCTTTTCTTTACTCAGCACCTGTCTTGATCTACACTCTGTGATGCTGAAAAACCCACACTTAAATTTGTTCTCTGTATCTAATTGTATAGTTGACTGTCGATGTAGCCTACCTTTTCTGTATTTGTTGTCTATGTTAAATCACAGGCCCTCAGTGATTTTTAGTTATTTAGTGGGATATTTTCCCTCATTCATATACCTTGCCCTGTGGCACATGCCTACATTCATCTTAGCATTTCATTACTTAGTACTTCATCATTCTCTGTTGTTCTGTATTTGTTTAATGGGCTTTTTTTCAAGAAATGTGTAATTTCATGGAGGTCAGGACTTCTCCATTACTGTAGGAGATAAAAAGCAAATCTATTAAGAATACAGTGATAGCTGAATAAATATTAATTGAATATTTTTCTTGGCTGACTTGTGGCCATGTTTGCCAACAGTTTGATACTGGGTAGTGCCAATGCTACATTTAAATCCAGAAATTAAAGTACAGGTGGTTTAAAAGTATATAAATTAATGTATGAGAGAGGAAGCAAATATTTTCAGAGAATTAAAAAAAATGAACACTTGGTCATTGGATTTAGAATGTAGTTTTAAGGCTCACTCAAGAAATATATTTCACATAGTCATTACTCTTGGTGCCTGGCTTCAATTCCTACTTGGCTTAGCTTCATTATTGGTGGCCCAGAACTTGGCTGGTAAGTAGGAGAGTTGGAAGCAAGGCTGGCTGCCTGGCAAAACTTACTTATGTTGACTTGAATTGCTTTTGATCTTTTCTGTCATTTGTCAACTGCTTTTTGTACTGCTAAATGGGTGGGCTTTTAATGGTTTTTATAGATGAATGAAAACTAGAAAAGCCAGACTATTCACAACACTGCGATAGTCCACCCTGGCTGGTATGGCTCAATTGGTTGGATTATCGTCATCCCACCCACCAAAAGGTTGCAGGTTTGATTCCAGATCAGGGCACATACCCAAGTTGCAAGTCTGGCTTGTATAGGGAGGCAACCAATCAATATTTCTCTCTCTCTCTCTCTCTCTCTCTTGCTCGTATGGGGATGCAACCAATTGATAGATCAATGTTTCTTTCTCTCTCTCTCTCCCCTCTCCCTCCCTCCCTTCTTCTCTCCAAAATCAATTTAAAATGTGACAGTCCTATAGTAGCACTGAAGCTACCCATCATGTGATGAGACTCTATGTTAATTTGTACTATAATTATTGTAGGAAGAAGTAGCTTAAGTGACATTCCATCTACCTGCTTCCTTCTTCCTTTTCTTTTACTTCCAAAGAAGCTAGAGATTCTTCAGGGAAGTACAAAAAGAATAATTTTAGAATAGATTTGTATTCTTGATAAGACAACACTTCTTCGGTTTGCTTATAGGTCCTGTTATTGCCTTGGAGTTTAATGGAGATCGTGTTGTAGAAGATTGTCAAAATGTTGTCAACGAGATATTCAAGAGCACCAAGGTACAAGATTTCATTGACTGTATTTCTTCTTTTTTAACCCCATCCTGAGCTGAGTTCAGCATGACTCAGTACTGCTGTTCTTCTGGCCACTGGCCCTGACATCCCTTGAAGACCCCAGATACTCGCCTAGGCCCGCATTCCCCTGGTGAGAGGGCACCCTGCCTGGGCTGCTTAGAGTGGCTCTACTGCCAAGCAGACCTTGACCCAGCCGTGGGCAAACTACGGCCCGCGGGCCAGATCCAGCCCGTTTGAAATGAATAAAACTAAAAAAAAAAAGACCGTACCCTTTTATGTAATGACGTTTACTTTGAATTTATATTAGTTCACACAAACACTCCATCCATGCTTTTGTTCCGGCCCTCCGGTCCAGTTTAAGAACCCATTGTGTGCCCTGACTGGTTTGGCTCAGTGGATAGAGCGTCAGCCTGCAGACTGAAGAACCCATTGTGGCCCTCGAGTCAAAAAGTTTGCCCACCCCTGCCCTGACCTCTTCCCTGATACTTCAACCTGCTGGCAGCCTCCATTAGGGCACTTACATAGGGTCAAGTTCCTGTCCTTTACCCCCATAATAACAGAGTTCTCCTTGAAGGCTGTCCTTGTTTGAGCCAGCTCCTCCTCACAAACCCCAGCCTGGACCTGGCACACTTTTTAAAAAATGTACTTTGATCAAAAACAGACATCCCATCCACAGGATCCCAGAATCCAGGGCTTTTCTTTGTGACCTCAAAGGAGCACATGTCAGGCAAGGCAGGGACAATTTCAGAGAGACTGTTTCAGAATCAGAGAGAATTTCCAGCATCTCTGGCCGCTTTCAAATCAGTCTCCAGGAAATTCAGCTTCAGAGAGACCCCAAAGCCTCACGTGTGTCATCTCACCTCTCCCAATATCATCTCCAAGAAAAACAGTGGTCCCCTGAAATAGCCCCAAGGTATTCCAAGGGTCCCAGACTCCTTCTCAAGGGCTCTCCAATACCCCCTACCTCTAACAAAAGCCCCTAGTAGACTTCTAGAAACATCCTTCTCCCCCACTCCTAGGGGTGAACCCCAAGACTCTAGAACAATTGCCCTTTTAATCTTGAAAATCACCTCAAGGGCCTAAAGACCTCCCCCAGGAAGTTTCCAGAAAAATACAGACTTCCATTGTGAACGGCAAGGCTACAGAAATGCTCCCACCTTTGAGGGAACGCCAGAGCTCCCGTCCAACCCATCTTCTAGAGAGATCTCCAAGGTTCCAGAAATATCTCACTGTCTTCCAAACTTCCCAATGATCTGGGACCTCCTCATCTACCAAAGCAAAACCTAGTAATCCAGAGGCCTCTGCACCTATAAGGAACCGCCAGCGCTCCAAAAAAGTCCATACTCAGACAACCTCAGAATCCAACCTGCTCCTGTGATACCTCCAGGACCCTAAGATCATTATTTTACAGGGCTCCCAGTGTCCCCATTAATCTTCCACATGCCAGGGAGATCCCCAGAATCTCTTGACTACCCAGAATCAGCCCTAGACCCTTGTATCTCCCGAACACCCCCCCCCCCACTTTCTAATTCCCCATTTCACAATAGCCTTAGAGCTACAGACAACTACAGGCACACATGACTTCCCCATCTCCTAGGCAGGGTTCTGAGACTGACTAGTATTTATATTTCAATCAAACCTTTTCATTTCCTTTTCCTACAATCAAATCGTACTTTTTAGGCCTAGTGTTGTATGGAATTTTTAAAAAGCAGATCATGATTTTTAGAACCTGCAATATATAATTGGAAGCTAAGCTTTGGTTTTTCCTTGCCAAACTAAAACATTAATTGCTTACACACTTATAAAATAAGAATGTACTTATTAAAAACCATCAATAATACTTGTTTCTAAAGTGAAAAATCTCATCAAAAGCATCTTTAAGTCCTTTTTTAAAAAATAGTGAATGATACACAGATGGTTTAACTTAATGACTTTTAGACTTTAAGTGATAGGCATTCAGTAGGTACCATACTTCTAGAGATATACTTTACCTTACTTTCTCGTAAGCTAGACAGCTGTAGGGAGTCACAGCTCCCAGTCAGCCCTGCCATCACAAGGGTAAACAACCAATACTCTACAGTGTGTATTCATTGTGTTAGGTTACTTTGTCCAACTGTAGGCTAATGTACGTGTTCTGAACACGTTTAAGATAGATAGGCTAAGTTATGATGTTCGGTAGGTTAAGTGGATTAAATGCATTTTCAACTTATGCTATTTTTTAAAAATACAATAACCATTTTTTTTTTTTTGCTCATAATTTTTTCAAATGTTTTTATTTATTTCAGAGAGAGGGAGGGAAAGGGATAGAAACATCAATGATGAGAATCATTGATCATCTGCCTCCTGCACGCCCCCTACTGGGGATCCAGCCTGAAACCCAGGCATGGAACCGGGCCCTTCTGATTCATGGATCAATGCTCAACTACTGAACCACACTGGCTGGGCAACTTATGCTATTTTTAACTTATGATGAGCTTATCTGTATTTCTAACATTATATATTTTATACCAGGAGTGGGGAACGTCTGGCCCTTGGGTCATATAAGGCCCGTGAAATCATTTGGCCTGGCCCTGCCAAGACATTAGGGGTGAATTAAAAGTTTGACCAAATACAACAGGTTAATTTTTAAGTTGATAATTTTGTCTGGCCCAAGAATGACGTTATAAATATCCAAATCGTCCTTGGCAGGAAAAAGGTTCCCCACCCCTGCTTTAGACAGATGATCCCATTGCCCAGTGTTCATTTTTATTTGTTTCAGTAATGCTTCCTCAAAAATTGAACTGGAGCTTTATCTAGAAATCATTACAAATAGGTATTTTCTAGATATGTTGATGAAGTTGTGTATTTAAGAATTTCAGACTTAATGTAACTTAAAAAAAAAAAACATGTAAAAGGATTAAATGAGTATATATGTAACTGATTATTTTTTATAAATATACTAGAGGTCCAGTGCACGAATTCATGCACCAGTGGAGTCCCTCAGCCTGACCTATGGGATCTGGCCGAAACCGGCTCTTCAACATCCCCCATGGGGTCCCCAGTTGTGAAAGGGTGCAGGCCAAGCCAAGGGACCCCATCGGTGCATGATCAGGGCTGGGAAGAGATGCGGGAGGTGGACCAGCCAGGAAGGGACCACGAGAAGGCTCTAGGGCATGTCTGGCCCATCTCGCTCAGTCCCGATTGGCCAGACCCCAGCAGCAAGCTAACCTACAGGTCAGAGTGTCTGCCCCCTGGTGATCAGTGCATGTAATAGCGAGTGGTTGAACGGCTAACTGGTCAACTGGATACTTAGCATATTAGGCTTTTATTATATAGGATGAGAGGAAATTTGGGGGTTTTGTAGTCTGATTCGGCTTATGGTTCCTTGAATTTGCATAATTTAAAGTATTTTGTCTTTTACCTCATTTTATCATCACATACTATTTAAGGTTGGGGCAAATATAATGAGATTGAATAAAAAAGGAAACAGAGAAAATGGTTATAGGACTTGTTTTTAGGTCTGAATGAGTTAAAGATGATCTAATCCAACTTTCTCATTTTACAGATGTGGAAACAGCCCAGAGAGGTTTAGTAAATTTTCAGCATTGTACAGCTAGTTTATGATAAAGCTAGAATGGAACTCAGGTCTCTCCTGTTTCCTGGCTGACATTTGTAAAAGCTTTTTTTTAAAGGATTCTATTGAGTACTGCTTTATTGTTGTTCAGAAAGTAGTTCATTTTAAATTGGTAATGTATCTTTAGCAGCTTTAAAAAGAGATAATCTCAAGTTTTGCTTCTCAGCCTATTGAAATTATTTATAGAAAATAAAAAAAACTAAGTTCTTTAAATACAACTCTATTCAGTAGCTTTCATAATGAGTGTTGTATATTCTAAAACAGTAAAATCCCAAGTGTAATAAAATACAAGTGAAGTATTATGAAAGCAAAGACCTTAATTACATCATAAGTGCTTTTAAAGGAGCTTAATTTACATTATAGTTACTGAAACTATTTTGCATGGATTCTACAGAAAATCTACACATGAAATATTATAAATGATGTGCTTGAATTTATTTTAAATAGCAAGGTTATGACTTTGTTCTGTGGAGAACATGGGCTTTGGAATTTGGGGATTACTAGTATTTATTTTTGTTTCTTTTATATTTAAAATAGACGTTTGTGTCACAAAACAAGGAGACAGCATCTAGAGATATAGACGGCTTCTACAACTTTGCTGATATACAGATGGGAATATGAAGTGCACCGTGGAACCAGGGACTTGGTATTAAAGCCCTTCTCACCTTGTATATTACCAACGGCTTTTACCAAGGCTAACATTGTTAAAGTTGATTCTTCAATAAATTATTAAATACTGCATCATTTACTTGCGGTTCAAAAATAGTTCATTTTAAATTAAGTTGTTGTTTTGTTTTTTTAAGAATTTGGTCCTTCACTGGGCCTGATTTTATTTTTCTATTTTTTTAAGTATGTTTTTATTGATGTTTAGAGAGAGGAGGAAGTAGAGGGATAGATAGAAACATCGATCGGCTGCCTCCTACATGCCCCCTACTGAGGATGGAGCCCACAACCTGGGCATGTGCCCTGACCGGAATCGAACAGTGTCCTCCTGGTTTATAGATCAGTGCTCAACCACTGAGCCACACAGGCCAGGCTTAAATGAAGTAGCTTTAATCAGCTTAAAAACTAACCCACTTCAATAAACTTGCAGTTTTGATTCTCTGCATTTGATATTGTTATTAGAAAATAGAAGTGGCTAACAGTTCGTTTTAATCCTAAATGTTCTTTCAAATCTCTAATAATTTAAACTTTCCTCAGTGTTCCATGATACTTGTTTGAGAATACATTCCATTGCTTATTTTCTTTTTTAATTTAGAGGGATTTGTTACTAGTTGATCAATTAGAATGAACCTATGTGCATTTTTTCATGTACACATATCCAGTTAAAGAATTGCTTCCTAGTTGCTTAATATGGCAAATGAGAGTCTGTACACAAACTTGACATACTTATAAATTGAATTTTTAAATTAATAGGTATTTGATAACTGGTTTTGCAAGTAACTCTACTAACTGATGTTGGTAAAGCTGTTTAAAGACTATTTTGTGAGTAGTATGACTATTTGAATAATTTCCACCCTGTTCAGTTTTTTACTATAACTGCTAGATGACTCTTCTGCTTTCTGGTAAGAAAAGATATATGCAACACTAAGACTGTAGAAGCCCAATCACCAGCAGTTTTCAAAAAGATGATTACTGTTTTATCAGCTCTTGTGAGATATTAGTAGAATTGGAATAAAACCTTGTGATGTTCAGGTAAGACATACTTAGGTATGATGATAAGCTATATAGATTAAAAAGCTAGATAAATTTGATTTTCATTAAATATGCCACTCATAGCAAGTAATGTTCAAGCATGATAAAAATTATTTGGTTGCTTTAAAGCATTATTCTCCAAGTCAACCTACCTAATAATTTGCCAGGAGGCAGGGGATATTTGTTTAAAAGTCCAGTTGTTGGAACCAATCCCCAGATGCACCGATTCAGTCTCCAGGGGAAACTCTGTTTTAAGGGGTTTATTGTAATTTGAAGTAATCAGTTACTGAAAGGTTGATCTTGTGTAAAGTGACTGAACCTACCACCCACATCTCATATAGCAGCTAATAGGAAATAAACTTTTATAGGTCTATTTTTTAAAAGAACCTTAAATTTAATTCTATTTTGATAAAACAAAAACTGAAAATAGCCACTTGTAAAATTTCCTCTTATTGTTACTAAAAATGTATTTTCATGTTTAAACTGTTTTTTGGATATTTTCATATTAATTTATAACTGCTACATTTAATTGTGTATTGATGTCCAGAAATAATACATTAAAAGACTTTTCACTTTAAATTAGTAATATTGAGTTCTTACCCTGTGCCTGGCCTTGTGCTAACCATTAGCATTGCAATATTTCAATCTTTTTCTTAAGTTTATCTTTATTTTTGAAAGTATTACAAATGTCCCCTTCTACCCCCACCCTGAATTCCCCCAGGCCTACAATATTGTCTGTGTCCATAGGTTATACATATATGCATATAAGTTCTTTGGTTAATCTCTTCCCACCCACCCCACCCCACTTCCCTCTGAGATTCATCAGTCTGTTCCATGCCTCCAGGTCTCTGGATCTATTTTGTTTGTCAGTTTATTTTGTTCATTAGATTCCACATATAAGTGAGGTCATGTGATACTTGTCTGGCTAGCTTATTTCGCTTAGCATAATACCCTTCAGGTTCTTCCATGCTGTCTCAAAGAGTAAGAGACCCTTCTTTTCACAGCTGCATAGTATTCCATGGTATAAATGTACCACAGCTTTTTTTATCCACTAATCTACTGATGGCCACTTGGGCTGTTTCCAGATCTTAGCTATTCTAAATTGTGCTGCTATGAACATAGGAATGCATACATTCTTTCTGATTAGTGTTTTGGGATTCTTAGGATATATTCCTAGAAGTGGAATGCAGTTCTATTTTTAATTTTTTGGGAAACTCCATACTGTTTTCCATAGAGGCTGCACCAGTCTGCATTCCCACCAGCAGTGAACTAGGGTTTCCTTTTCTCCCCATATTGGCCAGCACTTGTTGTTTGTTGATTTATTGATGATGGCCATTCTGGCAGGTGCGAGGCAATACCTCATTGTTGTTTTAATTTGCACCTCTCTGATGGTTAGTGACTGAGCATTTTTTCATGTCTCTTGGCCTTCTGTAGGTCTTTGGAGAAGTGTCTATTTAGGTCCTTTGCCCATTTTTGAATTGGATTGTCTTCCTTTGTTAAGTTGTACGAGTTCCTTATATATTTTGGAAATTAAGCCTTATTGGATGTATCATTGGCAAATAAGTTCTCCCATGCAGTGGGCTCTTATTTCATTTTGTTGATGGTTTCTTTTGCTGTGCAGAAGCTTTTTATTTTGATATAGTCCCATTTCTTTATTTTCTCCTTTGTTCTCCTTGACCTAGGAGATGTATTGGCAAATATATTGCTACCAGAGATGTCTGAGATTTTGCTGCCTATAGTTTCTTCTAGGTTTTTTTATGTTTTCACGACTTACATTTAAGTCTTTTATCCATTTTGAGTTTATTCTTGTGTATGGTGTAAGTTGGTGGTCTACTTTTTTTTTTTTTTTTTTTTTTGCATGTACCTGTCCAATTATCCCAACACCATTTATTGAAGAGACTGTCTTGACTCCATTGTATACGCTTGCCTCCTTTGTCAAATATTAATTGAGCGTAATGGCTTGGGTCAATTTCTGGGGTCTCTGTTCTGTTCCACTGATTTATATGCCAGTTCTTAGGGCAGTACCAGGCTGTTTTGATTACAATGGCTTTATAGTGTAATTTGATATCCAATATTGTGATCCTTCCTACTTTGTTTTTCTTTCTCAAGATTGCTACAGCTATTCGGGGTCTTTTTTGTTCCATATAAATTTTTGGAGTATTTGTTCTAGATCTGTGAAATATGCCATTGGTATTTTAATAGGGATTGCGTTGAATCTGTAGATTGCTTTGAGTAGTATGGATATTTTACTGATGTTAATTCTTCCAATTCATGAACATGCTATGTTATTCCATTTGTTTATGTCTTCCTCTATTTCTTTTTCCAATGTCCTGTAGCTTTCCGAGTACAGGTCTTTTACCTCCTTGGTTAAGTTTATTCCTAAGTATCTCAAATTTTTTGTTACAATGGTAAATGGGATTGTGTTTTTAGTTTCTCTTTTTGAGTATTCATTATTGGTGTATAAAAATGCCATCGATTTCTGGATGTTAATTTTGTGCCCTGCTACTTTGCAGAACTAAATCTAGTAGGTTTTTTTGGTTGAGTATTTAGGATTTTCTATGTACAATGACATGTCATCTGTGAATAATGACAGTTTCAACTCCTCCTTTTAATCTTTTCTAAGAGCATTCTACATATACTACATAATCAACCTCTCCTTTAAATCAAAACAGTTTAATAAGATGCAAATAAAAATTTGTGACAGGTTTAATATAGTTTTGATCATAATTTACAGATGAGCTTTGCAAGTAGGGGTCAGAGGGCATTAATTTTTCCCATAGTTAAGCTAAAATAAACATGTTCCTTCTAGTCATGATTACATTATTAAACCCCATTACTCACACTTAATCACAGTACTTTTTGTTTTCAAAAATATAATACAATGGTATGCAAAGCAGTAAATTAAGCTCTTTATTTTATCTATGATATTTTGGCAAAAACTCAGGAATATAACAAAAAAGGAAGATATTGATTATAAATTTCTATTAAATTTAGTATCTGTTAACCAAAACCTAAATTTCTATATTCTTCAGTTAAATAAGAGCTTCTACCCAAGTCCAGTTTGTCTTTAAGGACAGTCATTTGTCTTCCGAATATTTGAAAAGATTTTTTAAAATAGTGCTACGGTTGTTGTTTCTATAATTCTAAACTTTGATAGCAATTATAGTATACTACATTTCCTTTCTGAATAGCTTTTGAATTAATGTAAAATAGTATTTTTTAAGTTATACATGTGTAAACATTGTATTACCTTATTTCTCTTGTGTTGATAGTAGTGCTTATGTTTTAGTACTGTTTTTTGCTTCTGAATATTTGTGTAGCTTTTGTATGTAGTTTATCTACTGTTTATAAAACTTGATTTATAATAAATATTGTTAAAATGAAAATGGCTAAACACTTATTTTTAAAGAACATTTCTATAACAAACATTTACTCATATATGTGTCAAAATTTGATCATGACACAAATTTTTAATGATAAAAATAGAATAAAATTTTCTAATCTTTGTATCATGTTAATGAGAAGTGAGCTGTATTCCATGGATGTGTACACACAAAGCACTCTGGAAAAATACAAGGAAGTAGAAAACCTGTTTTAATCTAAGGAATTTCCAATATAAGGCTTCCTTTGTTAAAAGATACATTTTATTATGATTGAATATTTACTAAGATTAGACATCTTTCTTTTAAGTATTGTGTGTTCACCACCTCAAGTCAAGTCTCCTTCCATCACCATTTATCCCCCCTTTACCCTCTTCTACCTCCTCTGTGATATACTTTTCTTAGGTTTATACAAATGGATCTTATTTTTAAACTAGGGGCCCAGTGCACTAATTCGTGCACCTTGAAAGGAACTGTGGGCTGCAAGGCTGTGGAAGGCACAGGGGCGGGTTTCGGCCCATCCTCCGCCCCTCCGCCCCCGGCCCCTCCTGCATGGCCCCCAGTCCCCTGTCTACCTGCAGCCCTGCTTCCACCACCGCCACTCGCATTCGTTGACAGCGCCGGCCCCACTCACACCCACTGAAATGCTGAGTAATTGGGGCTGGCACCAGCA